GAATCCTGAGCGTTGCAAAGTGGTTGGTGGATGCAGGAGCGCAACAACTGGGCAAGGAGATATGATGATCATCTATGATGACCATTGTCACACCAATAAAGTGTCATCGGTCGCATATCGCACGTGCCACTGTTGCGCACACAGACAGAGGGAGGCAGCCGGGGGAGAACGGGATCAGGGGAAGGAAAGGGAGGGGGGGGAGGGGGGAGGGGAAAGGGTGTAGAAGGAGAAGAAACGACGCTTCACGGTGTGATCGCAGCTTTCGATTGGAAGCTGCCGAGCGAGGAAGCCGTGCTCTGTGCGGCAGCGGGAAAGCGGCAGCACTGCCGAGCCAAAAACAAAGGTCTCTTTGGGCGGGTGTTGAGCGGAGAGCGGGCCACGCTGCTCTTGCGTCACAACACACACGCTGCGTGGGGTGTGTGGATGGCTACCCCTCCGCCACAGGCTATTCCGCTTGTAGCTAGCAATGATGAGGTAGAGAAGAAAGAGGTTATGAGTGCTTCAGAAACTGCCTTGCGCCTGCTGCTGGCCGGTGCAGGCGCAGGCGCCGTGACCAAGACCTGTGTCGCCCCGCTCGAGCGGGTCAAGATCATCTTCCAGGTCCAGGGCATGGCCCGGGTGGCGGGAGCTGGGGCTACGGCCGGGCTTACGGCGGCGGCTGGGGCTGAGGCTGGGACTACTTCTGCGGCGGGGGCGGCGGCAGGGGCTCGGGCGGGGGCGGCGGCTCCTGCCATGTACGACGGGGTCATCCCCACTCTGGTCCGTCTCTTTCGTGAGGAGGGCGTGCGCGGGCTGTTCCGCGGCAACGGCGCCAACGTGGTGAGAGTCATTCCCGTCTACGCGCTCAAGTTTACCCTCAATGACGAGTTCAAGGCCATGTTCAGCCCTACAGATGGCTCAAAGCCCTCGTTCGCCACCCTCGTCGCCTCGGGCTCGCTCGCTGGCCTCGTCCAGACCTCGATCACCCATCCCATCGACACTGTCCGCGCCCGCCTCACCATGCCGGCCTCGCTCGGCCACTACAAGGGAATCGTCCACTGCGCTACAGAGACCATTCGCTCAGAGGGCTTCGCTGCTCTCTACAAGGGCTTCCTCCCTACCATCGTCTCCGCTACCCCGTACGTCGGCCTGCAGATGGGCATCTTTGGCCAGCTCAAGTCGTGGCTCGACGCAGGCCCCGGCTCGGCCTCGGTCGTCGGCAATCTGCTCTGTGGCGCTGGCGCAGGCCTCATTGCCCAGTCGGTCACCTTTCCAGGCGACGTCGTTCGTCGGCGCATGCAGCTGTCGGGCATGGGCGGCGCCCAGCCGCTGTACCCGTCGACTATGGCCTGCATCCGCCACATCGCCAAGCACGAGGGTGCAAAGGCCTTTACCAACGGCATGGGCGTCAATGCCATTCGCTGCCTCCCAGGCGCCGCCATCCAGTTTGCCGTCTACAACTACCTCCGCGACGTCCTCAACATTCAGCCTCACTAAAGGCCTCTTCCACGCGCTCTTCCATACTTGCCACCCGCGCAGCCAGTGCCGCCATCCCAGCCTCCATACGCCCAAACCCGTCAGCCACAACGCCAGCCAATGCCGCAATCTGCGCGCTCAGCTCGCCTAGGCTCGGCTCGACCTCGCCATCCCTTGCCTTGCTACTCGCCTCGTCATCGCTGCCGTCGCTGGTCTCCTGCTCGCTCCTCGCGTCGCCGTTCTTCTCCACCACGTACACGCATAGCTCTTCAAAGAGCGTCGCCGTCGATAGCCGCGCAAACGGCTCGCCACCGTTCGACGTAGCCGGCACGCCGACAAGCAGGTAGCCGAGCTCCGCCTTGGCCTCGGCCGAGCTGCCCAAGATGACGCTGCTCGGATGAACCGGCGGCTCGAGGCTCAGCGGCTCAAGCTCGCCGGTCCAGACGTCGACAACAACCGCCTGCGGCCCCGCGTTGTGCACCAGCGCCTTTCCGCCCCACAGCGGCGTCAGGGCCACTGGCACCAAGCCCGATTCCAAGATGCTCGCCGCACAAGCCTCGAGGTGCGAGAGCTCGAGTCGGACTCCGCCGTCGCCGTCGTCCTTGGCCGAGAGTGCAAGGAGCGCAAAGCCAGAGTCGAGGATGTGCGGCGGAGGAAGGCTCGGCCCGCTCCTTGCCGCCGATGCGCCAGTCCCATGGATGTCAAAGAGCGACGGAAGACCCGAGCCGACGGTGGCGCTTGTCCCGCTCAGCTCGAGCGTGGTCTCGAGCACGTTCAAACTCGGCGAGGTGAGCGAGGCGCCAGCGAGCGGAAGGAGCGAGACCGGGACCGGTGTGGCCACCAGAGGAATGACGAGCACCGCTGCGCCCGCCCGCGTCATCACAGCTGCAGGCAGCACGTCAAAGTTCACGTCGCTGATCCCTTCCAGCGCTTTCACCAGCGCGACGTCCGGCACATCGGCCACGCCAGCCAGTGCTGGCTCACCAGCACCATCAACCCAAGTAACAACCCGGTAGCCAGAGGTAAGAACGATGGCAAAGACATCGTCAGCAAGCCAGCCTGCGGCAACAAACCCGTCAGCCACCACCACATTTCCGGAGCTGACCTCGCCCATCTGCGCCGGCAGCTCGACATGCGCCAGCTCGGTGCCGGCCAAACCGTCGAGAAACACGATGCGATCGGGCTTGGCCGGACCGAGCGCAAGGCGGAGGGCAAAGATGCGATGGCGTGGCGCCCAGCCTAGGCCGGCGACCACCCGAGCTGGTGGATCGACCGCCCACACCGCCGGTGGGGAGCCCGCAAACGGTAGTGCCACAAACGAGACGCCGTCCGGATGAACCTCGGCGAGGCGAGCCAGCGGTGGGTCGGCCGCCTCCAACGAGAGGACATGAGACGAGCGGGCGGTAGCGAGGGCGAGCGCCTCATGCGGCGGTTGAGGCTCATGCAGCGGAACACACGCAACCCCTGTTGTCCGTCCGCCTCCCTCCTCCCTCCTCCCGCCAGCACTCCCCACCGGAAACGCTGCCCATGTGGTGTGTCGCCGTCCCCGTCCCCGTCCCCGTCCCCGTCCCGGCCCGCGTCCCCGTCGTCCGACGTCACCAGCCTTGCTGCTCGCCGCCGCCTCCCGCTGCCGCTGCCACGTCGCCAGATGCTGGAACCGGCGGCGATGAATAAGACTCTCGCGCACCTCTGCATGCACAAGCTGTGCCTTCATCCCTTGCTCACCCTGTGCGAGAGAGAGAGATGTGGATGACGTTGGGACGCCGCATCCAGTCGGAGTCATGCATGATCACTGTTCACTGCCGTGATTCGAATGGTTCTTCGTGTGAAGAATGGAGAATGCGTGTGACGTCAACATGCTCCGGACCATGTACTACGTCGGGAGATCGGGGAGATAGCTAAGAAATCAATGTGTGCGTGTGTGTGTGTGTGTGTGTGTAGAAGTTTGTATCGGTTGAGTCGACGTCGTGGATCGCATGATCTTCCCCACCCCCCACCTCCCCTGTTCCAGTCGCTCTGCGCACAGTCGTGCGGATCGATGGCAGCTTGTGATGGTGCTATGTGGACCACCGATCGGACCCGTTTGACTCGGTCCGGACTGTAGGGTCGATGGATCGATCACATCATGACCGTCAGCAGACAGACGGACTGGCAGAAGAAAGCGGTGACGAGGGAGACGTGGCGTGCCTGTCTGACCACATCTCTCGATCATCACAGCATGGCGAGCACATCGGGAACGGTTCCCAAAGCCGGTGGGCCTGCGGGAGAAGTCTCCTACCGCGGAGCATTCAGTACGGCTGTTGACTCGCTCCGCACTGCGCCAGCTGGCTTTGAAGCCGAGCTCTCTGCCCTGGTGGACGGCTGGACGCCTGCCTCGGCTGCTGTCCGCCTAACTGGCTTTCCTGCCTTTGCCGCCACCGACCTGGCCACCAAGGCCACTGTCGCCATCCGCACTCTCCGTTCTGCGCAACCGACACATGCTCTTCGTGTAGAGTCCGGTATGTAGCTTCTCCCATGTCCTGCTCTCCTCCTGTGCCCCCCTCCCCTCCCCCTTCTCCCCTCCCCCCTCCCCCCCCCCCCCCCTCGTGCGTCCGTCAGGTTTCCGGCGAAAAATGGGCGAAAACCTGCATGGCCACGGTGCGTGGATGAAGAGCACTCCCCCTCCCCCTCCCCCTCCCTCCCCCGCAGTCAGTCACCCTCCCCACCCCCCCACCCCCCCCACCCTCCCCACCCATCCACCCACCCACCCACTCACCATCACACTCGCTTACGTACTCATCTCATCCTTACCCTTATGCTCACCGCTGACCGCTGTTACGATCGCCTCCACTCTTCGTTGTCCCAATGCTCCGATACCAGATCTCTGCGCTGTTGCTGCCACACGGGTGTCAGACGACTCGTTGCCGCTAGAGTTGGCCATCTCCAAGTTTGGTGCTGTAACGGGGCCAGTCACCGAGCACGTGCTCACTACGCGCGCCAACCAGGCAAACCACCATCTTGCCCTGCTGGCTGCCGAGTCGCCATCGGCGCTGACTGCCCTGCTCTCGGACCGCTACACCCAGGTCGGTGTGGCGCTTGTTGAGCCAGGCGCCGGCGCCGGTGCCGGTGCGGACGCGGCTGACGGTGGCGAGCTCACTGTCCACATCATTCTCGCCTCTGAGTTTGACGCTTCCAAGGACGGCGGAAGCACCGCGTCGCTCACGTACTCGCCGGCGGATCCGTGCCCGGTCTGCTCGGCCGCGCTCGGCATCGACCCAGTGATCAAGGCCGAGGGGGCATTTTTCCACGTCCGCTGCTTCTCGTGCTGCATGTGCTCGGTCCCGCTTGCCGGCACCGGCTACTATCTGTACCCCGACATCTGTGACGAGGCCTACAACGATCCGGATGGGCCGTCGCCGGCGTTCTACTGCGCTGACCACCGTGCTGCAGCCTCAGCTGTCCGGGCGGCGTATGAGGACAAGAAGGCTGCCGCCAAGCGCGCCGAAGAGGACGAGGCCCGTCGGTTGGCGGCCGAGCAGGCCAAGGCATCACAGCAAGCCCAGGCTCGGTCTGCGCGGGCGCGCCGTGGGCGTGAGTCGATGCGCAAGCGGTCGGAGGCGCTGGAGATTACGGCGGCGTCGGAGAATGACCTTGCCGACCAGTCTGACTCGGCTCGTGCTGCCATGGATGACATGCGCGGCGTGTCGCCGGGTGTCGGCTCGGTCCTTCGCGACTTTGACGCTGATCCGGCCTCCGACGGCGGTAGCCGCAAGCCGCTCGATGCTGCCCAACAGGCCCGCGCCGCCAAGACCCGCGCGGCGTACAAGCGCCAGGCCGCCATGGCCAAGACTGTTGCCATGCACGAGCCGGACAAGACCAAGGCCGCTCGCCTCGTTGATGGCGCCAAGGCCGTCGAGTCGGCCTACCCTGCGCTTGATCCCAACAAGCCGTACTCGCACGCCGAGCTGGGCTCGATCCTCGACAACCTTGAGGCCGCCGGGCTTGGCCTCACCGCGCCGGGTGCGGCTGCTGCTGCCAAGCTCCGCCTCCGTATGAAGGCAGTCGAGGACAAGGCCGCCGCTGGTGACGCCGCTGCCGTCAACGAGGAGCTTGGCGGTCTCTCGCAGGACATCCGCGACCTTATCGATGCCGCTCGCGCGAACCGCAAGTATCTTCCCGACGAAGCGTCTCAGAACGAGCTGGATGGTGCGCTAGGGCGGCTGCGGAAGGTGGGCAACGAGTTTGATGACGCCGCCCGCCGCGCCGTCGATGAACCCGAGTTCCTTCGTGTCCTCCGCAACCTGCGCAAGGTTGGCGGCGACGAGGCCGACAACATCAATGCGCTGCTCCGCGATGGCATGGCAAGCCAGCTCCGCGACGATCTGGCCGCTGTTCCGCCAGCCATCCGCGACATGTACGACGCCGCGCGTGCCGGCGACATGGCTCGCTTTGTGCCGGCGGCCAAGGCGCTTCGGGATGCGTCCGCCAAGGTCCTCGCTGGCGCAGAGGCTCTTGCCGAGCGCATCCATGATCCTCAGATGGGTGCGACTCTTCGTGTGGCCGCCAAAAAGCTCGGAAACGACACCCTGACCGCGGTTGAGGCCGGCGTTGACCTGGCCAAGGACGCAACCGACGCTGACGCCAAAGCCCGCCTCGGCGAGGCTGTCGCCGGCACCAAGGCTGATCTCGACGAAATTGGCGGCGTGCTTGACGCACTTGACCGCGGCGACGGCGCCCAGCGTCTGAGGTCGAAGCTCGCGGACGCGGTGCGCTGGAGACCTTGGTCGACGCCGTCAACGGCGGCCGTCCGGCCGACGCTGCCCGAGCCGCCGCGGTTGCGTCGGATGCGTACGCAAAGGTCGCGGATGCGGCGGCAACTGACGGCAACGCGCCGCGGGCCGCAGCCATCCACAACGCGCTGGACGGGCTGTCGACGGCGGCCGAGGCAGACGCATCGGCAAGCCCGCCCGGAGTTTCGCCGCCGCTTGCTGCCAAGATTGCTGCTCTTCGTGGACCGGCCACTGCCGAGCAGGACGCGCTGCGTGCCGGAACTGCCGCGGTGGCAGCGGCAAATGCCGGCGATGGTGCTGGCACAGCGGCGCAGGTGGCGCTTCTTGCGGCGGCGCTTCAGGAGCAGCTGGATGCCGCGCGCCTCGGCGCGGTGCCTGGCATGGACCCGATTGACCTTGCGGCGCTGCTGGGAGCTGCCGACCGACTGCAGGACGCGCTTGCTGGGCTCACAGACGCGCTCACACCGGCTAACGCGGCCGATCTGGCAGCTGCGGTTAAGAAGGCTGTGGCAGAAGCTCTGGCTGCCTCGCTTGCGCTCGGCAAGGTTATGGACAGTGACTCACCGGCGGCAATTCTTGCTGCTCATCTTGCGGCAGAGTCGGATGCTGCGCTGCGGAGCGCGAGGCTAGCGGCGGCGCGTGCCGCCAACGGCGATGCTGCGTCGCGGGCCGAGGTCCACTCCCAGGTCGCGCGCGCAACTGGCTTGCACGAGCTGCTGGCTTCACTTGCTGGGCAGGTGTCCCAGGCGACAGCGCGGCCGATGGACGCACAGACGGCATCGATGGTGATGAGCGGACTGAAGAAGCCGATTGAGGCCGCCGCCATGCGGGCGGTGGGCGACAACCAACCTGCGGCGCTGGACTCGATCACAGCGGCGGCGCGAGCGATGGGCGAGGTGGCGGTCGGCGTGACCGCCGGCACCGAGTCGCCGTTTTCGCTGGTGGAAAAATCGCGGCCGCGTCCAAGCACCTCATGGACGCCCTCAACCAGGCGATGGCAGCCAACTCTGCCGCCGAGGCTGCTGCGCTCATGGTGCAGGTCAAGGCTGTGCACGAGGCGCTGGCACGGGCCGGACACGAGGCGGCGGACATGCTTGCGGATCCAGTCTCGGCCAAGGCGGCGCACTCGCACTTTGACAACCTTGGGCCGGCGACGACATCGCTGGAGCGGCTGGTGGCTAAGGGCGACCCGGCCGGAGTGGCGGTTGGGGTCCAGCTGGCCAAGGCCGAGATCGCAGCGGCTCAGGCGGCGCTGGCAGGCCGGCTCGCCCCGCAAACAGAGGCGGCAGTGCTGGTAGCACAGGGCAAAAGACGCGGGCGCTGATGCGCGGGGCGGCGGGCGATCATGACGCCGACTCTGCGCGTGCGTTTATGGACCAGTCCGAGTCACAGTCGCTCCGGCTTGTTGCTGTTGGCCGTGGCATTGCCGACGAGACCGACGAGGCCCGAGTCCGATTTGTCATCGAGGAAGCGACCGAGCTTCAGCAGCAGCAGGGCCTGCTCCGTGACGTGCTGGATGCTGATCTGCGCTCTGGCGGAGCCCACAGCGCCCGGCTGGCGGCCGAGGTCGCCCGTGCCGACGCGCTCTCAGACAACATCCTCGCCGCTCTTTCTGGGCGGCCGATGTCGCAGCTTTCACACGTGCCGCCGACCGCCGAGTCTGCAGCGGCGGCGGCGGCGGCAGCAGCAGCAGCAGCGGCGGCAGAGGCCGAAGCGGCGGAGGCGGCGGCAGCAGCGGCGGATGGCTCGGCCGAGGCAACGGCGGGCCAGGGCCTGGACTCTGCGGCGCGTGCTGTGTCGCGTGCGACAGCCAAGTGGAACGCCGAGGGCAACCGGATGCTTTCGCTGGCGGAGCAGGTGGCAGAGCTTCTTGCAGCCATGTCTGCGGCGATGCGCGCGCGCAATAAGGAGGGTGTGGTGGCTGCCGCCGGAGAGATTGTGACGCTTGCCGGTCAGTTGGCGGACATTTCGAACACACTCAGCTCGCGGTGCCCGGATCGGGTGCTGCAAGGCGATCTGCGGACTTTGACGGAAGCTATTCCGGCCATCTCGACCCAGCTCAAGATGATGGCGCGTGTGCGGATGTCATTCGATGATGGTGCCGACTCGGACGCTCTCGGCGTCGTTGTCGACTGCGCCACCTCGCTCTCCAACTCGGTGGTCGGCGTCCTCTCCGCCTCTGAGTCTGCTGTCGTCTCGATGCTTGCAGCCGGCGTCGATGTCGACGGCGATTTGATGTGGAAGCGTCGCACGTAGTAGGAGACCCCCCCCTCCCCCTCATTGAACAGCATCCTTGGATGGTCGGTGCTTGTGTGCCCGTCCTTCCCCCCCCCCCACCATTTCATCCCGGCCACCACTCCTCTCCCCCCTCCCTCCCACCGCACGCAACTATGTCTTCGACTGCTTCGACCGACTTTCCGACCTTCCTCCTCACCGTCATCAACGCCTACATCTCCGGCGCTGGCAATGGCGACAACGCCATCGTACGCCCCCCTCCCCGCCCGCCCCCTCCCTCCCCCGTCCCCTTCCTCCCTCCTTGTCGCCTTCCCTTGGCCATACCCCCCCCCCCACTCCACCCCCTCCCTCCACCCCCCCCCCCTCCCCCCCCCCCAACGCCCGTAGAAGTCGACAGCGACGCTCGAGGACGACGTGGGCACGGCCGGAATGAACACTCTGCTGGGAACGTCCAAGTCCAACCGACATGCTGTGTCCAAGGTCCTTGCTTCGGTCCATGCCGCTTGTGAGGCTGAGGCAGCCGATGCGGCGCCTCTTGCCTCGGCCGACGAGATCAACGACGAACTGGCCATGGCCAACTACCTGGTGGGTACCTCGCTGACTCTGGCTGATCTGGTCTACTTTGCCAAGGTCTTCCCGCTCTACGACCCCTCGTGCGAGTCGGTCCTCGATGCTGCCGGCATGCGGGCCAAGGCCAACCTCACCCGCTGGTTCGATTTCATCCAGCACACGCCGGCCATGCTCGCCTCGGATGCCGTGCCCACCATTGCCATCAACGTCGCCACTCCGCTGCCGTCGCTGCCGGTCAAGGTTGTGGGCGGTGCGCCCGAGAGCGGCAAGAAGGGCGGCAAGAAGGGCGGCAAGAAGGGCGGCAAGAAGGGCGGCGACGGCGGTAAGAAGGGCAACGCCACTGGGCCCGAGCATGCCATCGAGCGCATCGAGCTCCGGGTTGGCCGCATTGTCGAGTGCATCAAGCACCCCGATGCCGACAAGCTCTACCTCGAGAAGATCGACGTCGGTGAGGACGAGCCGCGGACGGTTATCTCGGGCCTGGTCGACTTTATTCCGCTTGAGCAGATGATTGGCGCCACCGTGGTGTGCGTGTGCAACCTCAAGCCGTCCAAGCTGGTCGGCATCATGTCCTACGCCATGGTCCTCTGCGCGTCCAACGACGACCACACCGTTGTCGAGCTCGTCAAGCCGCCCGCAACCGCCACTCCTGGCGAGCGCATCCTGGTCGAGGGCCTCACCCTCGGCGAGCCCGTCAAGGTTGTCAAAAAGTCCAAGTTCTTCACCGCAGCCACCGCAGACCTGGCCATCACCGCCGACCTTGTCGCCACCTACAAGGGCAACCGCCTCCTCACCGAGTCTGGCGCCCAGCTCGTCGTCGACTCGCTCGCCGGCTCCACCCACCTCTCGTAGAGCAGCAATTCCACATTGATGGGGCCACTGTAACACAAAAGGTTGACATCCACCCCCAACACAAGTCATCCCATGCATCACATGACACCAGTCACGCCTCATAGCGGCCAAGCCATTGGCGCGTCGTCATCGCTTCCACCGTGACGCCAACATGACGTTTTTTCCTCTCCTCACCTCACCTTCCCGCCTGCCCTCCCCCCATCCCCATCCCCCCTCCCCCCCCTCCCCCCCCCCCTCCCCCTCCCCCCCCTTCCCCCTCCCCCAAACTCCATCCCTCCCACCCCCCCCCCGATCTGATTGTGTGCTCCT